TGCAGTTAGTTACACGAATTCAGATATGGGATGAAATCGGATAGAGATGAACGGGTKTAAGAGTTTTTAAGAGTTTAAGAGTTTTTAAGAGTTTTAGTCAAATGCTTTATAATATAGTATAGATATAGATAATTTAAAAGGTTATTGTGATAAAAAAATGGATTAAGGGACGTTTACCAAACATTTACTCTGTGAGCATCTAACGGTAAAATTCAACACTATCATTTACTTATCGGGTAAAATTTTAGTCAACAAAAAACGGCTTTCTATGCAACGAATTACCTGGTAAGAGCTGACTGTGGTAAGAGTCATTGTACTCACTTACCAGGTAAGACTCTAGGTCATTGCCTTGCTCTTTTCGGGTAAGATTCATGGTTCTTTCCATGTTCATCCGATAAAGTAATGTAACTTGGTAAGCGTTTACCCAAGTAAATATTTGATAAACGGCCCCTAAATTTATAAATTAAAAATATGAATATATTTGAAATATTTTTATTTAGCGTTACAAATTGTGTAATGGATTAGACAATAATTACTATTTAATTTTCTGTAAGAAATGGGATAAAAAACGACTGAAGGATCTTAAAACGATGTTAAAAAGTGTTTTATAAAACAACCAGGGGGACATTTACTTAAATGTTTACCGGTTAAGTACTTACTGTTAGGAGTCAACATTATAATTTATTTTACTGTGTAAAATTGTAGTACATTAAAATAGTAACGTATGCAACAATTTATCCGGTAAGCACTTACTCGGGTAAGAGTTGTCACCCACACTTACCGAGTAAAACTCTCTATCTCTATCATTGTTCTTACAGGGTAAGATTTTTTTACCATTGTCATGTTAATCAGATAGGGAAAATTACTCGGTAAGCACTTACTAGGTAAGCGTTTAGTAAACGGCCCCTAATACATGTTGTGACGTTGAAATTCATCCTATAAACTTATTGTAACACTTTTAGATATTATTTAATCATATAAAACACTTTATTAAGACACTAGGGGGTCGTTTACCCAAATGCTTACCCAGTAAGCGCTTACCAGTATGAGTCAACACTATATCTATTTTACCAGGTAAGATTGTAGTATACTAAAACGGTATCGCATGTAACAATTTATCCGGTAAATGCTTACCGGGGTAAAAGTCATCACCATCACTTATCGGATAAGACTATCTATCTTTATCATTGTTCTTACTGGGTAAAATTTTCGGCCATTGCCATGTTCTTTGGGTGAGAGAAATTACCGATAAACACTTACCGAGTAAGTATTTAGTAAACGGCCCCTAAACACTATAGCAATTTTATAAATCTCATTTTATTGAATATATGTTATATCATCAGTCAATATTTGATGTCAGATAATTTAACAAGAAAATCAATATTAATAGAATATTAATAAGAATATAAATATAAATATTTAATTAAAAAAAAGCTAAAAATACCATATTACCCCCTATCTTAACTGACTTTCTAATTCTATTAGCAGCAGGGAAGAAAAAACCGAAATGAAATGAAAACTGTAGTAACTGAAAATCAATTTCAATAAACCAGAAAGACGAAAATAATTATAAACAACAAACCACACGAATGAAACTCAAAAAATGAGACCGAATTATTTATAACTTTCTATATTTTTTTATTTAAAATATTTTGTTATTGATTATTATTTAATACATTAATTATGAATAAAATTATACCTTATATATTTGTTGGAAGGAGAGGAGGTGTATAAAAACCACATCTCCCCCATCATAAGTTAAGTACCAAAAGGAAAACATGAACCCTCTTCTTCTTCTTCTTCTGCCATTTTGGCTTCTAATTCTTCAATTCGTCGTTTGTAATTCTATTTATCTAAACTATACTGAAGCACTCTCCAAATCAATCTTGTTTTTCGAAGGCCAACGATCGGGTTACATCCCGAGCAATCAGAGGATCACGTGGCGTGGGAATTCGGCACTTGGAGATGGTCCGGGCTTTTTTTCTGACCTCCGTGGTGGCTACTATAACGGTGGAGATAATGTCAAGTCTACTTATACCATGGCGTTCACCACCACGATGTTGGCGTGGAGTGTGATTGAGTTTGGTGAAATGATGCCGAAGGAGGAGTTGAGGAATACGTTGGTGGCGATTAGGTGGTCCGCTGATTATTTGTATAAGACGTCTGCGGAAGTACTTCGTATTGTTGTACAGGTATGATTAGTGATTTATTGGGAAATTGTCTAGAATAGTCTTTCAGGCTTCTCCTCTTCACTTTATAGCCACCTTTTCAAGAAATTGACTCAATAGCGAAAGATTACACAAGTAGCACTTACGCAACTTGTGAAATCCACTTTTTTCAATATCATATTTAGGAAATTAGACATTACACAAGTTGCATGAGCACTACTTGCGTAATTTCCAGCTATTTCAATAACAATGTTGGAAAGATGGCTATAAAGTCAAGATGGGAGGTCTGATCATAGGAGTGTCACCGGTTGAAATCCAACGGATTTAGGTGGATCTGATCTGATCCGATCCAATAATTTATTGGATGTTTGATTTTATCAGCCCATTTAGTCCAATTAACATTGGACATCCGATTAAATCCAATTCAATGGTTTGAAATCTTATGGTAGGTTGGCGATCCAGTCAACGATCATAATTGTTGGGAAAGGCCAGAGGACATGGACATGAATCGGACTGTGTACAAACTGCAAGCAATAGACCCAGCCTCAGAGGTGGCTGGAGAGGTAGCAGCAGCTTTAGCCGCTACATCCATCGCATTCCGATCTTTTGACCCTTACTACTCAGATTCACTCCTAAAAGCAGCCAGCGGAGCTTTCGATTACGCTGATCTTTACCATGGCTCCTACAGCGAAACTGTACTCATTAAGTATGGTGTTTGCCCATATTATTGTGCTTTTGATGGATATCAGGCAAGCATATATTCACATACACATACACATACACATACACATACACATACATATAAAAGAATGGTGACACATTGGCAGGATGAGTTGATATGGGGAGCAGCATGGTTAAGTAAGGCTTCTAAGGATGAAAGATACATGGAATACATACAAAAGAATGGTGACACATTGGCTGCTAATGAAAATATTAATGAGTTTGGATGGGACAAAAAGCATGCTGGCATCAATGTTCTTCTTTCCAAGGTACAACCTCTATTTCATTTTTCATTTCCTACCTTTTTTTCTTTCTGTCTGTCGAAAAACTAAATCAGATTAGACAAATCCAGTAATATCTGACTTCAAGGTGGGGTTTCTGTTAATATATTTGATTTGGAGGATTTTAGCTGTTGAAATTGCAATAACTGCTTTAAATTCTGAATGCAGGAAGTTTTGGAACGGAAAGCGTATGGTCTGGATTCTTATAAAACATCTGCAGATAACTTCATATGCACATTAATACCTGAATCTTCGTCCTCATCACACATTGCATACACCCCCGGAGGCCTAATTTACCGGGAGGGTGAGAAAAATTTACAACATTCAACTTCAATCACATTCCTCTTGCTGGTTTACGCGAAATACCTAAAGCAATCATCAGGCTCCATAAACTGTGGCAGCGTACGTGTGGGACCCGCTAAGCTTCGTGTAATGGCCAAACGCCAAGTGGATTACATCCTAGGGAAGAACCCCAAGGGAATGTCGTATATGGTAGGATATGGCCGTAAATATCCGCAAAGGATTCATCATCGAGGCTCGTTCATACCCTCCATCAAGGACCATCCGCAAGTTATAAAGTGTAAAGAGGGGTCCATTTATTTTAACTCGTCCAACCCAAATCCAAACATTTTGATCGGGGCCGTGGTCGGTGGGCCCCAGAAAGATGATGAGTACGAGGATGATCGAACTGATATTTCAAAATCTGAACCCACAACCTATATTAATGCACCGTTTGTTGGTGCATTAGCGTTTTTTGCCGCTAAGCCTATCCACCACAATTAATTAGCTGACCTATAGTTTTCAAAGTGACGAAATAGGATCGATATCATCTTAGTTACGAGTGTATATAAGCCAAAAGGTGCAAATACTTTAGATGGGTAGGGAAGAAATTCTCTCACTTTTGTTAACCAAATTTAATAATAAAACACAACCTAATCAAATGTGTTCCATATCATATCTCTTCGCTTTATTTTTTATTTTAAGCATAAGTCCCTTTAGTTATCATAAAATGTTACATCCCGTTTTATTAGCGCTTATATATATCATATGTTATTTTGAGAAGTGGTAAATATTTGATAAGTAAAGTAATGATCCTAGCTCTTCATACGGTCAAGGTTGGATTTGACTGTTCAAGAATTGCGACTTTAACCGGTTAAAATTTACGGCTGTACAAAAAATAAAGAGGGTAGTTTCGACAATTTTACAAATAGGCGGAAAACGGGTTCATATGTGGACTCGTGTGATTATATGGTCATATGTAAACTTGTGTAATTCACATATGAAAAAATTTAATGATTCACATTTGAACCCTTGTGATTCACATTTGAACTAATTAACCGATTCACATACGAACATGTAGTTTATATGTGAATCACACGGGTTCACATATGAAACTATTTGCCGCTTATTTGTAAAATTTATGAAATTACCCCTGTATCTTCCGCATACCCATGCGTGAAATTATCCGATACTTCACAGTCAAATGCACAAATGTTGACTAGATGAAGGGTTATGATCACTTCTTTACTTCTCAAATACTTACCACTTCTCAAGTGAACCTTTTTTTTTTCTCTCTCTATCTCTCTCTCTCTCTCACCCACACACACACACACACACACACACACACACACATATATATATATAGGGGTAAGATCAAATGTTAACCAAA